TTTACCCTTATAAACAATGAATTTAATAAAACATTTACTTCTAAAACATTCTCCAGAAACAGTCGCAAGGCATTTAATGAGTGGGCGACAGTAGGAATTCATAAAAGCAGACGAAGGTTATGTAACTTTTACCATAAAAGATCATATAATCTTTCCGATGCCTTTAAAGAATATGTAAAAAAATATTCTAAAATGTTTAAAAGAGTTTGCTCCACAGCCAAATTATTACATATTAGTAACAAAATCAAGACGGCTAAGAATAAAATTAAAATGACGTGGAGTATAATTAACAGCGAAACCGGTAAAGAGAAACCTCGTAACTCAAACTATCAATTAAAAATTAATAATGAATTGACTATTTCAAATCAGGAAGTCGCAGCGGTGTTTGAGAAATATTTCACTGATATTCCTATCTTGACAACAGAGTCATTGAATACTTCTCCAACTGTCGCCGAGTCATTACTTAAACAAAACAGTAAAATACTTCAAAACCATTGATGTAAAGAAAACCGCAGATTTGTGGGGGATTTCCGTTACAGTGATTGCGACCATAATATATTTAATTGCACCTCATCTTGATATTATTTTAATACTTGTATCGATTCTGGTGTGTTTCCTGATTTAATGAAGTATAGTAAAGTAATACCTTTATTTAAATCTGGTAGTACATTGGACCCCGCTAATTATAGACCTATTTCTGTACTACCAACTCTCAGTATTTTTGAAAAAATAATTTTGGATCAATTGTTAATATTTTTTTAATACAAATAAATTACTTCATAAAAACCAATTTGGTTTTACAAGGGGTCGCTCGACGTCTGACGCCGATGTAGAGTTTATGAAATATATTTTTAATGCCTGGGAGAATTCACAAGATACCTTAGGTATTTTCTGTGATCTTTCCAAGGGTTTTGATTGTGTTCATCATGAGACATTAATCAGGAAACTACAGCATAACGGTGTAAAAAATTTGGCGCTTAGACGTATTACTTCATACTTAAGTAACAGAACTCAAAAAGTCGTGATAAATGGTAAAGGTTCCTCCGGATCGGTAGTATCAATGGGCGTTCCTCAGGGCTCGATTCTTGGCCCATTCCTGTTCTTAATCTATATTAATGACTTACCTTATCTTGTAGGGGACAATCACGATATTTTATAATTTGCTGACGATACCTCTTTAATTTTCAAACTCAAACGGCAGTCAATTAAATTATGACGATGTAAATAATGCTCTATCGAAATTAGTACATTGATTTAACGCCAACAATTTGCTCTTAAACGGCAATAAGACAAAATGTATTAAATTTACAATACCTAATGTAAAACATTCGAAAACCAATGTCCTCTTAAATGGGGAGGAGTTGAGTCTTGTGGATACCACTGTTTTTCTTGGTATTACTATTGACGCAAAACTTCAATGGGGCCCCCATATATCTAAATTAGCAAGCAGACTTAGTTCTGCAGCATATATATATATATATATATATATATATATATATATATATATCGCTATAAGAAAGATTAGAAGTCTCACAGATGTTGAGACAGCTAGGTTAGTGTATTTTAGTTACTTTCATAGCGTAATGTCTTATGGAATTTTGCTATAGGGTAATGCGACTGATATTGAAGCTATATTTGTTTTGCAAAAGAGAGTCGTACGGGCGATTTATAATCTAAGTTGTAAAGAGTCCCTCAGAGAAAAATTAACGCCTCCGGAGTAGTGCTTCCATGGAGGACGGAATTAAAGAGCTTCTGAAGGACTTCAAGTACCGGTTTTCCACCCGCTTTCAGATGCTCCGCTGTAATTCCATTTTTAAGATGCTGGAGAGCTATTCTAATCTCGCTCAGACTGAGGCCCGTTATATCATCGGAATAGTGTCGGATAAGACTCGCTCTCGGATTGTTACTCACACTTACGTGTGGCTCCAACGATGATGTGGACAGCTGCCGATAGAACCTCTCAATCTCACTCAAAAACTAAGGTGTCCTGGAAACGATGCTGCCACACTCGGTCTTCAGCTTCGACAGTTGGCTCTTTCTGGCAGACAGATCTCGTGCAAAGACTTTGGAGCCTTGGTTCCGCTCGATCGTTTCTTTAATACGAGCAGTATTAAGGTTGCGTAAGTCCCGCCGCATGCATTTGGGGATCTGTCTGTTCAGTTGCCTGTATGCTGTCAAATCTACTGAAGACTGCAGCTATATATCCCGTCTTACAGCCATGAGAGTGTTATCGGAGAGTTTTTGTGTTCTTCTGCGGCGGGTCTTGCAAAACTTAGTTCCGACCGCATGGACAGTTTCCACGAGCTTGTCATTCATATCATAGGCACTGAAAACGGTTTCGTAGCTCGAGCTGAAATGTTTCGGGGCTTTGGATTAGAGCACGAGGGGGACGGAGCGTTGACTTTATTAGACGTGACCTCTCCAACTTAACGTTTAGGTTCAGTGTGCCTCTCACCATTCGATGATCGCTGCCGTTTTTCACCTACACGATCACTGGGACATCACTGAAAAGTTGTCGTCTGGTCGTCATAATGAAGTCAATCTCATTTTTTGTGGAACCGTCGGGGCTCGACCAGGTCAATTTCCTGTGGGGCCGCTTCTGGAAGAAAGAGTTAATCATGAAGAGTCCCTCTTTCTCCATGAAGTCGACCAGCTGCTGGCCCCTTGGGTTCTGTTGCCCTATTCCGAATTTCCCTATTTTCAGCTCACCGTTCTTTCTTGCGCCTAGTTTTGCGTTGAAGTTTCCCATTATATATTATATCCCATTATATCCCGTATAGTGGGTTTTGAAGGAATGCATGGCTCTAGAGATATCCTCATACATTTCTTCCACCTCCTCATCGGGGTGTGCCGAGGTTGGTGCGTAAACCTGTATGACCTTCAGCGAATACCGTTTAGTGATTCTGAGTATAAGGTACGAAACCCTCGTCGACACACTCCCAATATTTACAACGTTGTTAACGGGAGACTTGTGGACGATAAATCTGACACCTCCTTGGGACAGATGATCACCCTCCTGGTGATAGAACAAATTGCCGGATTCGAGAATTACCGTGTCCTCCCCCTCTCTTCAGACTTCGGATAATCCTGTGACATTCCAGCGCAACTTGTCTGTCTCTTCTTCCAGCTCCAGGATCTTCTCGTCAGTTCTCAGGGTGCGTGTAATGAAGGAAGGTTCAATATGATGTTATAGGCTCTCCATGTTGTTGTTTTGAGGTTAATAAATAGCACGTTTTATGTTCAAAGTATTATATCTTCAATTATCCCCATAATCCTTAACAGGGTTATGAGCTCAGTACGGTCATCAGTTTCATACGTGGTAGAGCCGTGCTGCAGCTATATTATAGTTGTAGCACGAATGGGTCGGCTCGACCGGGGAAGGACCACGCTCTCACAGAATACCAGCGTAAAATAGCAGCTTAACGCTGTTGTGTTTCGTATGGTGAGTGTAGAGAACTGGCGACCCTTTTTACTGGAAACGAGGCATTACATCTTAGTCCTCACGGGTGACAACGTATCTGCATTTTGATTCGTAATCGAAGATAGATGTAGATGTGTATGGGCCACAGCAATCACTTACCATCAGGTGGACTGTGTGCTCGTTTGTCACCCTTATCCTATAAAAAATATAGTGGATTAATAAGTGTTAAAGGACAGAAGATATCAAAAGAAAAATATCAAATTGTCCCTTTCGCGGGGGATAATTTAAACGCATTGGAGTTTCGATTAAAAAGTATCCTGCGGGATAATGGAGCAATAGAGGCGATCGAAAAGGAGGATTTCAGTAAATCTACGGATAACAAGCTATTGCAATTGGAAGCTAAGGCCCAGGCTATCATAATAGCGGCAACCGCCGACAGTCACCTCGAATACTTAAAGGACAGATCTGCTTATCAAATGATTAAAAGCATGGAAGACAGCTTTAAGAAGAAAGGTACACGATCTAAATTATTTATAAGAAGAGAGTTGTCCGATATGAAATTCGACGAACGGAAACCTTTAACAACATTTTATTGACATGGAAAAGCTATTTGCACAACTCGGGGATGCTGGCAGTGAGCTCTCTGAGGAAGAAAACGGTTAACTATTTACTCCTATCCATGCCGAAATCTTATGAAGGCATTATCACGGCTTTGGAAACTGTGGAGGAATTGAAAATGGACTTCGTTAAAAACAGACTGCTTGGGGAAGAGGAAAAACGGAACAGAGGAGCGACCAAATCCCTTGACTCTTCAATCTTCTTGTGTTATGGATGTAGACGCCCCGGCCACAAAAAATCCTAGTGTAGGAGCACTCTGCAGGCACGACACAGGACTGGCGACTGGAGACTTCACGGCCGTGGACGTAGCGACTGGAAGTACAACGGAAGCCGAGACGACAGTAAGGCAACTCGTCATCAGACCCAGGGGAGAGGTAGAGGAAAGTTATTTCTTACAGGCACTGAAAATACTGAAGGTAACACATTTGTAAGTTTTATGTCCTTTAGTCCTGACACCGAACAGCGGAATAAAAATAGTTTTAAATGGGTTGTTGACTCAGTTAGTTCATTTCATCTTGTAAATGACATTAGTTTATTCTTTAATTATTGTAAACTGGATAAGCCAATTAAAATTTCAGCTGCCAAAAATGGCGTTGAATTAGAGGCTGTTGGTGTAGGAACAATAAAATATTATTTAAGTGATTTTAAAGTTGATATTATATTAAATGATGTGTATTATGTACCACAATTAAGAAAAAATTTATTATCTGTTTCCAAAATGGAAAAACATGGTGTAAAGATCATCTTCAATATAGGGGAAGTTAAAGTTTTCTGACAAACCAATGAATTGCTTATGGTTGGGCATAGACTAGGGTCCCTTTATTTTGTAGAATTTAAAGTAATATTTAATAATTGTTATTATGGTGCAAAATCAGACACCAATGATAATTCAGTAGAAATTTGGCACAAACGATTTTCTCACTTAAGCTATAGTAGTTTGAAAACTTTAGTAAATAAAAACATGGTTGATGGTTTAACTGATTTGAAAGAAAAAAATTTAGAAAATAGGCATTGTGAACCATGCATACTTGCTAAGATTACACGCCTTCCTTTTAATGGGAAAATGTATAAGGCTAGGAAACCCTTAGTACTAGTACATACCGATGTTTGTTCTGTTAGCCCTTCTCCGTGGGGCGGGTATAAACACTTTGTTACTTTCATAGACGATTTTACCCACTTCACCGCAGTTTACTTATTAAGAGACAAGTTTGAGGTTTTTGAATATTTTAAGACTTATTATAATTATGCTAGTAATCATTTTGGTCATGGTATATTGAAGTTAAAATCAGATAATGGTGGTGAGTATGTTTCTAGAAATTTTAAATCCTATTGTGATGAAAAAGGCATAGTATTGCAGTATACTGCTGCATATAATCCCGAAATGAACGGAGTAGCTGAAAGAATGAATCGTACTCTGACTGAAAAGGCGCGTGCTTTATTGTTAAATTCACAGCTACCTAAAGAGCTTTGGGACGAGGCCCTGCGATATGCGGTATATGTCACTAATAGTAGTCCCACTGCTTCCCTTAATGTTACAGCATTTGAAATGTGGGAGGGAAGACGTCCTAATGTGTCTAATTTTAGAATATTTGGGTCATCTGCATATGCCCATATTCTCCAAAAACTCCGAATGAAGTTGGACCCTCGTGGTGTGAAATTGAAAATGGTTGGGTATGCTCCGGGGGGATACAGATTATGGGATGCTAATGAAAGGAAGATACACATAGAACGAAACGTATTGTTTAGGGAAGAAACATGTTCAGAGTCCCCTGAAACGATTAGTATTGACGTGGAGTCTATCTCGGATGGGAAGGAGAAGGATGGTGGTAGTAGTCCTGAGAAAACCAAAACCCCTTTAATTTCTGATAAAACCCAAACCCATGGTACTGAGAAAATTTTAACTTCTGATAATAATTTAGAGTCATTACAACCTGAGGGAAGGGATACAGATAATGTTAATTCTAGGGAGAAAAGAAAGAAAACTAAACCAAAATATTTACTAGATTTTGTCACTGTTGATTCAGATTTAGGTGATATATTAATGGCATCATTTTTATCTTGTTCTAATGGTAATGTCCCAGAAAAGTATAATGGTATAGATTCTTATGATTGTAGATGGATTTTTACAAAAAAGGCGGGTAATGTATATAAAGCTGCAACAAGACGAGTTGCAAGGGGGTTTCAACAGGAAGGTAGTTTTACCGAAATTTATTCTCCCGTTTTGAAATTACAAACTCTCTGAGTTCTTTTATCATTAGCTGTTCAAAGAAACTATTTAATTCATCAAATGGATGTTAAAGGTGCTTCATGGTGAAATTGATGATGTTGTATACTTAAAGCCCCTACCTGGTGTAAATATAAATACAAATTATGTCTTGAAATTAAAAAAATCACTTTCAAATTGGTACAATAAATTTTATGATTTTATGAAAAGTAAAGGGTTTCAAAGAGCAAAAAGTGATTATTGTTTATATTTTAAGGATGGTATTTACATTTTATTGTATGTGGATGATTTATTAATTTTAGGTGAGGACAATTCAAGGATAAATAATGTTAAAGAAATTTTAAGCACAGAATTTAAAATGAAAGATCTAGGATCTAAAAATTTAAAATATCTGGGTATTAATATTATTCAAGATAGTGAATTTTTGTATATTAACCAGAAAGAGTATTTAAAATCTATATTGACAAAGTTTGGTATGTCTGAAGCAAATGCTAGTGAATCACCCATGGAAGTTAATGTTAATCTTGATGATTGTACGGTTGATCACTCTTTAGAGCATAAATGCAGAGCTTGTATAGGTTCTTTAATGTATGCTGTAGTAGGTTCAAGACCTGATTTGTGTGCAGCTGTTTCATATTTAGCAAGATATCAATCTAGACCATCAGAAAGGTTATGGCAATGCTTGAAAAGGATTTTAAGATACATTAAGGGTACCATTAATTATAATTTAAAATATAATAAGAATTGTAATTCCGAACCACTAGTTGTATATGCTGATGCTAGTTTTGCTGTAGATAAAGATAGGAAATTTATAAGTGGTTATGTATTTAAATTATTTGTTAACAGTGTTATTTGGCGTTGCAAAAAGCAGAGCATTATAGCTTTAAGCACTACTGAGGCAGAGTTATACTCCCTCAATGAAGCCGCTCTGGAAGCTTGTTGGATTAGGAAATTATTAAATGAGTTAGACGTTAGTTGTAATACCACTACCATATATGAAGACAATAAAAGTACAATATTTTCTGTATGTAATCCTGATCAAAAAAAAAAAAGAATGAAACATGTGGACATAAAATACAACTTTATTAAACATAAAATAGAATGTAAGGAAATTTGTGTTTTGTATATACCTACAAAGCAACAAATAGCTGATATTTTTACGAAACCATTAAATAAAACCTCTCATAATTATTTTGTACATAAATTAGGATTGGAATAGAGTTTAGTTCGCATTGTGTATTTTTAGTTTGTTAGTTCTGTTAATAAAAATCATTGGGGGAGGTGTTAATTAACAATGATTTATATAATATTGTATTTTAATGGCAACACTGCGTCGGTTGTCAACACTGTGTCTGTAATGAAGGAAGGTGGAAGGTTCAATATGATGTTATAGGCTCTCCATGTCGTTGTTTTGAGGTTAATAAATAGCACGTTTTATGTTCAAAGTATTATATCTTTAATTATCCCCATAATCCTTAACACCCTACGCCAAAGGAATTATCCTATATCTAGAAAGCGGGTATAGTTTTTCAGAATCTGTGAAATAAACTTTCCTTCATAATTTTATCACTTTTAATTTACATATCAAAAATAACATTCTATTAAATACACTATAAGATCTAAAATAGTTTATTTTGAAAACAGTGCAACACCACAAAATAATAATAAAATTATACTACTAAGACTGGATATTGAAACTTATGTGTTCTGTAATAAATCGTATGTTACTACTAATAAGGATTAATATTAAAAATATTAGGCGTAAGCGTATCACCTTTCCGTAGTAAAGTTAAAAAGCTGAAGGTACTCCGGGTTAACTTTGACATCGGGACGTCAATCACCTCAGTCCCCCGTGACCACGGTTGCTGGAAAGCAACCGAAACGTCGGGAATATAAAATAACTTAATTAAACGCGATAAAATCCGTAAAAGTAGTTTTATTCAATAAATAAAGTTATTTTTATTTAAATAATCTTTCGTTCGTGTGACCACATTTACGTAAAACCATGTCGGAGCGTGAAGAAAACCCGATGCTTCGCATCTCGGCCACCCATGATCCGACATTAGAAGTGGGATCCTCTGTTGTAATTCTCCGACATATATATAAATATTACGTTATTAAACTACTTTCTTCTTTGGCAAACTAAAAATGATAGAACAGAAAATAATGATTTAGATCTATGAAGCTGCAAATAATATTACAAATTAAACAACACCATGGTTATTATAAAAGGTGACTTAAGGTAAATTATACATAAAAATATGCTTAACATTTATGTATATTGCATTATTAGAAGGCACGGATGGGCTAATATATACAATATATAACTAAACAATATACAATAAAGTCAATAATAATGTCCATAGCTTCGGAGGTATTTGCATGTTTGCCTACTACTACACTGCCTGTGTCAGTGTGGAGCATAGAATTATTACGCATAGAAACGCAGTCTAGTACAAAACACGAGCGTTAAAATGATGCAAAGTCATAATGTTAGTGGGCGCGAGTCGAATGTGCCTACGCTCGTCACACGCACACATACACGCCATTCAGTGATACCAGTTTCTGGCGTTTGCATTCAAATTGTGCAAATCACTATTTTTCGATTAATTTAAAAAAAATCGATATAATAAAGATTACGTATTACGTACGAAGATGTATTTTATGAGAATATAAAATGGAATAAAATAAACACGATAATGATGGTACTAATATAACTTTATTATACATGTATTAATGGTACAAAAACGCAGACGTAATAAAATTTAAGAATATTGTTAAACACAATTAATTTGCTCGAATATAATAAGCACATCGTGTAATGTTTAATTTTAACCGACTTCAAAAAGGGAGGAGGTTATCAATTCGGTGTATTTTTTAATGTTTTTACCTCAGAATTCTACAATTTCTAAACCGATTTAGATTTTTTATTTGAAAGGATATACACACATATTGATCCAATATACACGCTGAAATTTTAATGCTTGTTTTCCCGAAGTAAAATGATTTTGCCTTAGTAGTACAATAGATTTATTAAAATAAAAATTATTAGGATGCAAAAATGGCAGAATCGAGAAAAACAAAACTCGAATGCGATCACAAACCAATAGCAATATCTCGCAAGTAGGTCGGGCGTGCAGGCTAGCTTATACCGATTTACTATAATAAAGTCTGAAAAAGAATTCACTGGACGTAATGTTGTGTTACGTTTATCGCACGCGCTACCGCTTCCTACACAGTGAAGGGCCACTAATAAATGTTCATAACATGAACTCTCAAGCGTAGTGATACGACATAAACTAGTCTGGACGCCCGACTAGCTTGTGAGGTATTACTATTGTAAATCTGCCTTTTTTAATTGTAATATTTTTTAATTTAATAAATTGACTCTACTATCGAGTATAATTTGGCTGCGGGACAACAACCACTAAAATTTCATTATGTACCTATATACGAATTGATCAAGCTTAGAAATCAGTGTACATACATATTGATAACCTTTCTTTTTGGGAGTCGGTTAAAATAGGCTATGTTTGGGTCTAACGTAACATCTGGTTAATGTTTGGGTGTAAAGTGACATCTGGTTAGTAAAGGCGTTCTTATTAATAATCTCTTGATGTTGTGAATAAAAAAGTTTTTATTCTATACTCTAAAACTTAGCCTTAGTCAATAAACAAAGCAATTAAAATAAAACAGTTGCGTTAAAATGCCGTCGACGCATCGCGATTAGCAGATCACTCCGTATTAGTTTTAAATAGGCACCCATTGTTAATATAATGTTAACACTTAGAGAAGTTGGTATCTATATATAAACATTTGAGTTTTACACAGAGCGTTGCGATTAAACGTTTTAAACACAAATAGAACGTTTTAAACACAAATAGAAAATAAATATTTTTAAAAGAAAATTGTGATTTTTTTCCCCACAACTAGCAACATTTGCATTATGAGAGCTTAGGTAAGTATTTTTTTAGTTTTACGTACTTATAATGAATTAAATGTAAAAACATATATATGTGAAATGTAATACCATCACTTCTTTTATGTTTATCATCACTGTTGTGACAATATTTTACAATACAAACGGTAATTTTTACAATTCTACGCGAGCTCTTCTCCGTAATACGTGACGTTGCGCACTGACGCGTCGCTGAGTCAACTAACGCGGTTTCGAGTTAGTTTTACTTGCTTCACTTTCGTTGCGCGTACTCGTATTCTATGCGTAATAATTCTATGGTGTGGAGTTTTGGCAGGAACTTGCCCGGCGGCGGTTTGCTGCTCCTGCATTATAGTTTAAATAATAGTTTGAAGTGGAATTTGATATGTAAAAGTGGTGCGATTTTATGTATTAACTGTCTACGCATGTGAACTATTAGTGGAAACGGTGAAACAAGTGCTCTGATGGTGATGGATTTTCAAGATAAGCTGTTTGTTTGCATAGGCGCCTTTAGATACCATCGCCAACTGTCAGCTGTCTGCTGGCTCAAGTTGCCGTCAAAATTTCCCAAGGGCTGCACACGTTACATTGTGACGCAGACATGATCATATTGTGAAGCAGTGAAATTCTATATATTCAAAATAAAAAAGACAAGCCTTATGACATAGTTCCTTTGCCTACTCTTTCGAGCGAATAATAAAAACAACAACAACAACAACAACTGTGATCTGTGTTATAATGTACTCTGTGCTGTGTATTGTAATCATAGACTTAGGAGGAGTTTTTGGCGGGAACTTGACCGGCGGCGGTTTGCTGCTCCTGTATTATTGTTTAAATAATGGTTTGAAGTCGACTTTGATATGTAAAAGTGGTACGATTTTGTGTACTAAGTGTCTGCGTATGTGAACTATTAGTAGAAACTGTGAAACAAGTGCTCTGATGGTGATGTGATTCTCAAAATAAGGTGTATGTCTGCTTAGGCGCCTTGAGATACCATCGCCAACCGTCAGCTGTAGGCGTGTGTATCTCTTTACGGAAACGACTCAATGATACGAATCACAGAAGTGACACAAAAGATTGGTTCAGTAACAACGTTTCAAATGTATCATTTGTATCTGGAACAGTGAAACATTACTTTGCTCTTTGCTCATTTCGCGCGTGTCTATGCGCGCGACGCGTCGCTTGCGAGGCGACTGAACCACGAGCGAGAGAGAGAGAGACTGATACAATGATTAACTTAACTATTGACTCACGAGTGGCGAGTGAGCGGGCGAAATAATTATAATCCACATAAGTCAGATAGAGATAACAAATAAGAAGTGTATCACAACTCGTACGGATTTTCGCTGACGTTATTCATGCACGTAAAAATTACCACTAAGGCGCTTATGTGCCAAATACTATACGGTCGTTTTTTGTGTGTAGCATTTGCATTAACAAGTTGTCATTTTACGTTGATGCGGCACTTGTCAAATTGTTTATATTCATTAGCGCCTGTTTACGAAAACATACTGAGTTATGTTTAGGATTTCTTTGCGTAGTGATTATTGTGACTTTACTTTCTTCCTTTTCATCATAAAGTTTAGAGTTATGATACTTTACGAGTAAATTCTGTGAACATAGATATTGCTGTTTTGTGTAAATGGACATTTTTGTAAATGATGAATTGACATAGTGACATTTTTGGTTAATGTATGAAGGAGAATCGATTTTATATACAATCTTATTACGGTACACAATAAATAATCTAAGCACTTATATTATTCAGCATTGTTGCCACATAACATTTCACGGATCAGTCCGTAATAAACAGAAATTTTGTTTTCCGTCTGTTGTGTTATAGTATTATGCATGTTCAAGAAATCTGTTTTTGTACCTTAGAACCACCTGCTATTAGGTAGCCAGCATACAAATACTGGTCGCGTCGGTGATGCCGCATGTATGGTGGTCACATTCCATCAGGACTGTAATATTAAGTCTACAAGACAGACATTGTAGGCTTATTATTACGGTCCTGATAACACCCTTTGGGTCCAGACTTATACAAAGAAAAGTTATGAGAAAAGGTGGTACATGCTTTCATATCTTTTTCTCATATAGGTAATTAGTGGGTAGAACATGTTGTTGGAAATTACTTGTCATTTCTATAATTTATACCTAAAACACCAGTTTTGTAAAGTACTTTTTTTTGTTATGTATATTTTTTAATTTTAATTTGTATTTTGAATAAATAAATAGAAAACTGTAATTTATTGTTCTTTTATTCAGCGCTGGGATAAGCAACCCAAAAAAATACCTCTAATAATCCCCCAAAAAAAAGAGCAACGTTCAAATTTTCCCGCCACGAAAATATTGCAGGTGGGTCGACTATAGATGGAGCTAGTGGGTATATCCATTTTATTTTATATGAAGTTGGCGTTCTTCTCCGTAGAAGTAATAGTGTTCTGTGCATACTGCCTAGTCCATAGACTAATATATAATACTGGAGAGCCTAGTCTTCTCTAGTACGTACCAACGTAATGTTATGATTATAAACGTAGTGATTATATTCTCTTTGGTACGTACTACGTACTACGTAGTACATTATTTCTCAATGATTCTAAGTCCATGATTGTAATATTTTTGGAAACTCGGGTTTATTGCTGAAAAAGTGAATTTAATTATATTAAAGCTAATGGAAACAGGAATGGCCTTTAGTGAAGTTTGTAGAATTTGCTTATGCGTTAATGTACGCATGTTTGTACTAAAGAAGATTAGTCTTCGAATTTTGTACAAAACATTGACGAACAGTTTTGTAAGTTTCTTAACATTTCCTATTATTGCAAATTGACGTTGCGGTAATTTGTCGCTACCGCTGGAGACATACATTATTTCTTACCTGATAAAAATGCGATAGATCGTGGCTAGGCTAAGACAAATGTAACCAGATCCTGAAAAACATCAATTAACCTGAAATCCTACTACGTGCTAGAAGAGGCACCGAGACTTAATTGTTTGCAACACGCGTTAGAGGCCGCGAGATAAAAGTTACCGAGTCTGTGCCATAAAAAGGTATCTTGGGCCTCCTTCCCCGCGAACCGCACTGCTACATAGATTTTCTCCCGGTGTATGTTCTATATATTACTGAGTTTTACTGCAATTTTCTGTCAAGATATTAACATCCACCCTGGTTTGGGATTTTATGTGGTAGAGCCACACTGCAACTATATTATGGTTATGTGGTAGAGCCACACTGCAACTATATTATGGTTATGGTTGTAGCACAAATGGGTCAGTTCTACTGGGATAGGACAATGCTCTCACAGAATACCAGCGTAAAATAACAGCTTAATGCTGCTGTGTTACATTCGGTGAATGTAGAGAATCGTAGACCCTTACTGGGAATGATACATTCTGTCTTAGTCCTTAGAGGTGACAACACATTTATATTTTGATTCTTAATCGAGGAAAATGTAGATGTCTATGGGTCACAGCATCCACTTACCATCAGGTGGACTGTGTGCTCGTTTGTCACCCCATTCTATAAAAAAAAAAACATATAAAACCACAACCACATAATTTTTACTCAATATAGATTCTTACAACTCTTACAACAATACCTTTGAAAGTCATTTTTTTATTTATCACTGGCTCAGAAAATACCTCTGTAATAATAGAACCAACATAGTGGAAATTAGCTTATTCCCAGGGGTTATTTTCATTTATGTATTCTTTGACATTAAAATAACCCTTTTTGATCAATTTACACTTGTTTATTGACAAATTTTGTACATTTTCTGGAAATTTGCTGTAAAAGCGAATACATTGCCCCATAAATGAATTACTAATTCTGTGGAGTCTAGTAACTGGTATTACAAGCTTATGTTTGTTCCTAGTGCTTAAAGTATGAACATTTTTATTCTTATGAAAGTTTTTTATGTACATACATTCATAAATATATAGCGATGCCAAAGTTAATATGTTTATTTCTTTAAATTTTTCTCTAAGGCACTCACTACAATTTAAGTTATAAATTGCCCGTACGGGTCTCTTTTGCAAAACAAATATGGCTTCAATGTCAGTCGCATTATTTATTAGTGGAAGATTAGAGTGCACTTATGCTTACTAACACAGAAATTCCCTCGCTCTCATATTTTTCATGTTCCTATCATCATCATTCATATCATGTTTGTCAACTGCAGTTTTTTTATTTGTCTGACCTGTTATGAGAAAAATGCTGCTGCATATATTCTTAGGAGATAAAATTATCTAATTGTTAGATGACCAAACCAACCTGGAATTTACTTCATAATGCAATTTATATTAAATTAAAAAGTTTAAAACTGCTAGGGGATGTATATTGTTATTAACTTCCATTTGAAACCAAGTGACAATGGCCTAATAGTTAAGGATGTAAACTGCAAACTGAAGAAAGTATTAAGTTCAAATCTGCCATTTGTCTATTGTTGTATTGCACAAGCATTTTCAGTTTACTTGGAGCAAATAAGAGAAGTCTTTGTAATGTTAATAGTAATGCTAGTAAAAAAGTAAAGTTTGAAAGTAGGTTTAGTAATATTGAATTTTGAAAGCCACTGGATAGTGGCAATCTAGCAACACAGAAAAGCGATGGATGTAGGTGGCTTAAGACTGTGTTGTTGCAGTGATGATAATTCACTAGGTGGTACAACTTTTTTCTTCCTAGGAGTCTGTCTGAATAATTATCATCCTCTTGCCTATTGCTGCCACCAGCAGCAGTATGTGTCCCGGTGTGAAGGACATTGAGAGCCAGTATAATAACAGGCTGTGAAGCATTACATCTTAGTCCTCAGAGGTAACATCGCATCTGTAGCCTTTGCTTGAAGTTCGTTACAGGTGCCTATGGACTGCAGCAGCCACTTACCATCGTGGATTGTAAGTTTATTTGTCACTTAAATGTTATAAAAAATGATGTTGATGAAGAGAATTGTGGTAGCCAATAGATTTTATTACAAACTTGTATATTTAAGAAGTTTTCCATATTTATGACGAACTTTCTTATTTTCAGAAGGATGAGGATGAGGAGCCCATAATTGTCTGTTTCACCTGTCATGCAAGACTCATTCGTTGCTTAACATTACAACAACAGGCTATTGAGTCAAATGCAATTCTGGAGCAGTTACTTGCAGGAGGGTCCATGGTATTATTCGTTCCATCCATTAAAACCTATAAAAGTCCCTCATAGACTGCTTCATATAGGAGGGGTTTTGCCTAATTTGCCACGCTCGGCAGGTTGGCAACCACAGTTTATATTAGTCTGAGTTGTTATCAGGAAGATGCTGCCGCCCAACTCCTGTTTCTGTTTCCCTGTGCCGCCTCTTACAACACCCGTCCCGTGGGTAGGTATATAGGCTAGTGGATGTTCTTACACCGCCACTACACGGTTCACGGTATTATACCTGTTATTAATAAAATTTCACTGCCTGATGATCACTACCTGTCTCGCGCCTTCTATGCTGCTTCCCGTTGCCATATGGGAGAATGTTTTTTCTACTGCAAAGTTAAGTTTATCCTTCAATCCAACTTACTTTTTCGTTAGAACAATGTTTTATATTTTACGAATTACAGTGAGTTAAGTACTTATTTTTACAAAACTATTTAGCTAACTGTTTATGCTGTTATATATTACTCTATTGTATATAAAGTAAATATTATCTATATCTGGGGGCACGGCAGTGCCCCCGCCAAGTCGAGCAAAGAAGCGGCATGGCCGTACCATCCTTTTCTTGAAGCAGTTCTGGCCATGTTAGATACCCTATAACTTCGTTGTGGATAAAACTAGAATCCTGAATTTGCAGTGGCAAGTAGGCATTGTATAAACTCGGTATATTTCAAATTTCATAAAATTTGAATCAGTAGTTTAAGAATTATAACTAGTTAAAGTTCTTCTGTGAGGCTTCTAATCATCTTTCTTACAGCATATGCTGCAGAATTAAGTCTGCTTGCTAATTTAGAATAGAATAGAATAGAATATTTTTTATTCAATATACATTACATGTGTAATTCTTATTGAAAGTCATTTTTTACTTTACCAATGGTTCGAAAAAAACCCTCTGTCCTGGGAAGAACCAGCAAGAAACCCAGCGGGACTTTTTTTTAAAATAAATTTTACAATATAAATGATTACGAACTATTTACAAAATTTATTTTAGAAACTGCTTGGAAGCGACCACCTCATTCCCAGGGGTTATTATCAACCATGTATTCATTTATACTATAATAACCCTTTTTATACAGTTTCAGCTTAATAAAACATTTAAACTTGGTAATAGAGAGAACTATTACCAAGTTTAAAGTAATTTTTCTCTATATAATAGAGAAAAATTACTGACTCTGTGGAGTCGAGAAACTGGCATCACTAGCTTGTGTTTGTTCCTAGTGTTTACAGAATGTATATCACTTTTTTTACTAAAACTGTCTTTGTTTTTGTGAACATACATTAAATTTTCGTAAATATACTGAGAGGCCAAAGTTAATATATTAATTTCTTTAAATTTATCTCTAAGAGACTCTCTCGGTTTTAGATTGTAAATAGGTCTAATGGCCCTCTTCTGTAAAACAAAAATAGTTTCTGAATCAACCGCATTTTCCCATAGCAAAATCCCATAAGACATTATGCTATGGAAATAACTAAAATAAACTAATCTAGCTGTCTCGACACTAGTGAGACCTCTAATCTTTTTTACAGCATAGGCTGCAGAACTTAGTCTGCTTGCTAATTTGGATATATGGGGGCCTCACTGGAGCTTTGCGTCATGAGTGATGCCAAGAAAAACAGTGGATACAATAGGGCTCAATTCCTCCCCATTTAAAAACACATTGGTATTCAGATTTTTAACATTCGTTGTTGTAAATTTAATACAATTAGTTTTATTTCAGTTCAAATGCAGATTATTAACGTTAAACCAATGCACTAATTTTGATTTAGCATTATTCACTTCGTCACATTTAAATGATTAAAAATCAAGGAAGTATCATCAGCAAATAATACTATATCATGACTATCCCCTACAAGGTGAGATAAGTCATTAATATACACCAGAAACAGGAATGGGCCGAGAATCGAGCCCCGAGGAACACCCATTAGTACAGGTGACCCGGAAGAACTTTTACCATTGATAATAACCTGCTTTCTATTACTTAAATATGAAATAATAAGTTTAGGCGCTGTGTTCTTGACACCATAGTACTGTAGCTTCCTGATTAATGTCTCATGGTGAACACAGTCGAAGGCCTTGGAAAGGTCACAAAATATACCCAAAGCATCCTCTGAATTCTCCCATGCACAAAAAATATGTTTAACAAGCTCAACTCCAGCGTCAGTTGTCGAGCGACCCCTTGTAAAACCGAATTGATTTTTATGTAGCAATTTATTAATATTAAAGAAACTTAACATCTGATCTAAAATTATTTTTTCAAAATTTTTACTAAATGTTGGTAGTACAGAAATTGGTCTAAAATTGGCGGGGTCTAATGTACTACCAGATTTAAATAAAGGTATGACTTTACTATGTTTCATTAAATCAGGAAACACACCAGATTCGACGCTTATATTAAATATAGTGGCTAGATAAGGTGCTAATATATCTATTATAGATAAAATAACTTTAACGGAAATCCCCCATAAATCTGCCGTTTTCTTAACATCAATAGTTTTAAAATATTTAACAATATCTTTTGGCAGTACTCTATAGAATTTAAAAGTATTTGAACAAGCCTTTACATTTTGTTTGAGCAATGATATCTAATCTATTCTATTCTATACTATACTATAGTAAAATTATTTTGTCCGTGCAGTTGGGGTCATAAATCATAGCTCGGCCTCAGCGCGGCTAGGGCGGTGAGCATGTTGCGCGGGCGCAACGTCATAATCGATAACAACAAATGAATCATCAAATGCAGGTACACGGCAGCGGTGCGGTATACAAAAGGCTGGTGCGACATTGTTATGTTATGAGTCATTGGCGGTCCACCTCTTTGCGATTTAGAAGATGTTTTCTTCCTCGCACAACTTCCTTGTGGAATAGTTTACCACCAGCGATTTCTTCGGACCGATACGGCTTAGGAACCTTCAAGAAAAGAGCCTACTCCTTTTTAAATGGCCGGCAACGCATCTGCAATTCCCCTGGTGTTGCGGTTGTTCATGGGCGGCGGTAGTCACTTACCATCAGGTGAGCCGCATTACCATCAGGTGAGCCGCATGCTCGTTTGCCCCCTCTCCTATATAAAAAATAATAACTTAAGACAGAAGGACCCTTAAGTAGGGACTGAATAAATTAACCGACTTGGTATTACATGGATCTCACAACTTTTTACGGTAGTAGAACTGAGTTGCGAGACTTGTTTTTTTTTTTTACAAGTTATGTTTTTGATGGCATGTAATATTACTCAGTAAACAAAGATAGATCATTGTACATTTACTGCATTCGTGAAACTGATTGGAAATATTGTTGAGACTCGATACTCGGGATGGATGAACTATATATATTCTTATGTAAATTTATTCGGAACCCTCACTTTGTCCGGTTTTTATTATTTTTGTAGTTGTTGTCAGGAAGATGCTGCTGTCCATCCCCTGTTTCAGTTTCCCTCTGTCCCTTTTTACGACATCTGCAGGATGGTATGGTAGTATGGATTCTCCTACGGCACCACTACACTGGCTTTTTCTCTTATTTAACAAAAGAGTTTGGTTTCAGTCAATACCAAATCATCATGAGGCTAGAGATAAGATTCAATTCACACCAATTAGTCATATAGATATCAGGCCAGTAGAGTGTGATCTAGATAATGATTGTCAGAACGAAATGTTTATCGTTGTATCTGTTAAAGTTGAAGAAGTTGAAGAAAATGAGAATTCCAAATTTGAAGAAAATGGGAATCATGAAATAGGTAAGATATACACATTTTGTGATATTATTAAAATAAGCTATAAGTTACCTAATGGCAAGTGGTTACTGTAGTCCATGGACACAAAATAATATTATAGTGGAATATTGGCGCGGATTAGGCCGTATGTTCCAGACGGGTACAAATTTACATCAACAATCGACAAGGCGCCTTTAACGCGAATGTTACGCGTTCTTAATAGAATGGCTGAAGACAGTGATCTATTCTGTTGCACCTTGAGTGAATTCACTAGGGTAAGATTGTTTACAATTTGTTAGGGTTAATGACCACATTTTTGTTATGCATGAAAAGAACTACACTGTCGCATTAGGTTATTCCTGTCATGATGGTTGTTAGTTTAAATAAAAACTATCGGTAAATCCAATTATGCATGCCCTAAGCGCATTAAAAAATTACGTATAACATGATTATACGGAATTTTTTAAAGTAGCTTAAATACACACAAGTATGCTTAACGTAATTATCAAGAAATATTTTTCCCAAGGTTACTATTAATACGAGGTTAAAATTAATAGCTATCTTACAAATTATTACAGCACTGATCTTAAATCATTCAAACTGTATACACAGAAATTTACATGGTCATATATGCGCATACATACATGCTAAATCCCAAAACAAGAATTTAATCGTAAAATCTTCAAAAAAAATTTCTTTATAACCAATCACAGCGCGAGGAGCTTAGCCCCCCTCCGTTGTCGGCATGCTTCGATAAGCTATCTTTCTCACACTTAAGGCTACGCATAAGAAGACTTTTTTGTCGTATTCATTTGTAAACTTTATTCATGTCTGGGAATTGTTTAAAACCGCTCAATTCGTCTGGCATTTTGCAGGTATTGTTAAAAATGACTCAATAAAAAAAAGTAATTATAACTAAACAAAATAAAATTATACTGCTAACAGATTAAAAAATATATTGAGTTAAACAATTAATATTTTCAAAACCTTAGAGCCATGCTGCAGCTATATTAGTATATGTAGTATAATTGTAGCACGCATGGGTCGGCTTGGAAGGGGAAGGACCACGCTCTAACAGAATACCAGCGTAAAATGGCAGCTTGACGCTGCTGTGTTTCGGATGGTGAGTGTAGAGAACCGGAGATCCATTTTACTAGAAAAAAGGCATTCCATCTTAGTCCTCACGGGTGACGACGCATCTGCATTTTGATTCTTCATTGAGGATAAATGTAGATGTCTATGGGTGACAGCAACCACTTACCATCAGGCTGACTGTGTGCTCGTTTGTTACTCTATCCTATAAAAAAATGCGGACTTGATAAATCTACATCATAAGCCACTAAAACCACTTTTTTATGTAAAATATAGCAATTAATTGATTTAAAAAAAATAAGTTCAACAATCATTTATCTCTCTGACAATGTCGTTTTTATATCATTTATATGTTCAATATAATTGTTAGATGCGATTTTATGCGACAAAACGTTGGAATCTTGATTTTTAGGCGCTAGTAGAACATACCTACGCGTTTTGCGCTAGGCATGATTGTCATTGTAAAGTAATGAATTTCTTTAGACATTTTTTTTACTTATGCATTAATATATTTTAAAAATATTTTGATCCTGTATAAATGCAGCCAGTATGTATCTCACTCACTAAGATGGATTAATTTCATAGGAATTAATGATATACTTACAACTGGTAAGCAACCTGTCTTTGCCAATTTCTTTAGGAATGCCACAAAGCACGGGCCTTAGCCACCTGCATCCATCGACTTCCTGCATGTCTTACCAGGTCGTCACTCCATCTAGTGGCAGCCGCCCTACACTACGTCTACCAGTACGAGGTTGCCACTCGAGAACCTCTCTTCCCCATCGGTTGTCAGTTCTGCGGCCCATTGCCACTTCAGCTTCTTACACTTAGCTTATAAACATGCAGTATGGTAATGAAAGTGGGTGGCTCAGGCCCATAAGCTTTGTGATGGACTGTAAGGATCTAGTTGCTTGAAAAAAATATCAGTTATTATTTTATATATTGAGTCAGAATCTGTTTCATTCTAGAGAGTGCTGAAAAACAAGAAGATTTGGAGATTGATGCTTTTGAAGATAGACATACGGATTTGGATGACGACTTGCCGCTAATTGCATTTGGTTCAAAGAGTAAAAAAGATGACTATGACATAGGTAAATGAATTTTTTTTTATAGGATCGGGTGACAAACGAGCACACATTCCACCTGATGGTAAGTGGTTACTGTGACCCATAGACATCTACATCTATCCTCAATAAAGACTCAAGATGCAGATGCGTTGTCACCCGTGAGGACTAAGATGGAATGCCTCTTTGCTAGCAAAAAGGGTCTCCGGTTCTCTACACTCACCATACGAAACAGCAGCGTTAAACTTCTATTTTACGCTGGTTTTCTGTGAGAGCTGGTCCTTCCCCGTTTGAGCCGACCCATTCGTGCTACAACCATAATATAGCTGCAACATGGCTCTACCACGTAAAAAAACCTGCATCAAAAAATAAAAAAAAATCACCACAAATTCCTCTTGCATCATGTAGTTGGAGATGTACTATACATACAAATTTTGCTCTTAATTACTTTAGTCACATCTAGGTTCTGCAATAAAATCTTGCGCATAGCGAAGCGAGCGGTTATCAGCTATACTAGAATTATTTTGTGCGTGCAATTTGGGTCATAAATTATCGGAGTATTTCGCTCTCTCTCCCACTCACGGGCTTTATGGGCGAGCATAGTGATGCGCATTATTGTTGTCGATAAGCGTTATCGATAGTGTATTTAGTTTTGTCATTATGTGGGCGTGATAAAAATGAAAAAAAATATAGATAAAACAACGTATTTATTAACATGATAATAATAATAATTCTAAATAAATTATTAATTAGTTATCTATCTATTAAAAAACTATAAGTAGAAATGTTTCGCATCTAACAACTTACATTAAAAATAAATATAAAGATAATAACTTATATCAAAAATTAAATATGTTGTTTTCGATAATGGCGTTGCGCCCTCGCAACATGCTTACCACATTAAACACGGTGATTATTGTTAAAAAAATAATTTATTTTTCAACATAATTTCCTAACAAGTCAATGCATTTAGTCTATTTTTGTTCTAAATCCAGAATTCCCTTAGAAAAAAAATCTTTGTTTTGATCCTCAAAAAAAGCCTCAATAGCGTCCATGACTTCGCTATCGTCTGCAAATTTCTTGCCTCAAAGGTGTTCCTTGAGCCGAGGAAATAGAAGTCACTGGGAGCTAGATCTGGCGAATAGGGCGGGGTGTTCGAACAGTTCAAATCCCGTTTCTTGAATGGCAGCCATCGCAACTGCGGCTTTGTGAGGCGGAGCGTTGTCTTGTTGAAACAGCACTCCAGCTCGCAATTTGCCGCGTCTTTTTCTTTAATAGCCCCCTGCAATCTTCTTATTTGGCCTGCGTAGTCGAGAGTATAAGCCCGAAATAATGGCTCTGTTTTCCAATTATTCCACCATAATTATTCCTTCAGCGTCCCCAAAAACGGACGCCATAACCTTTCCCGGCGAACTTGACACTTTGAATTTCTTTGGCGTCGGGAGGAGACTCGGTTTCATACCGTTGATTGTTGTTTGGTTTCAGGACCGAAATGGTAGATCCAGGTCTCGCCCACGGTCACGAAACCTTATAAAAAATCTGATCTGCTTGGAACCTTTCGAGATTCACCCTCGAAATGTCGACAAATTTTTTCTTTTACTCGTCGGTTAACATTCTCGGTACCCAACGCGCAGAGATCCTTTTCATATGCAATTCGTTCGCAAGGGTTCTTTGAACACTGCCATATGAGATACCTGTGACCTCAACTATATGCCTGATGGTTACACTTCGATCTGCCAATACGATATCTTCGACTCCTTTCACTTTATCTTCAGTGAGGGATGTGGATGGGCATTCATCTTCATCTTCCGTGGATGTTCAGCCCAGTTTAACCTCCTTGGCCCAGCGCGCAATTGTGAAAGGAGCAGAGTCCCTCAATATTTTACCAAGTCGCTGTGTATGTCTTTGGTAGACATTTTTTAAACAGAGGGAACTCTCATTTAATTTTTCTCCATTTTGATGTTATCTCTTTGATGATTCGTATTCAAATGAATATACCTCTCGGGAATCGTAGTCTGTTTATATGATTTTTTCTAATTCTGATCTAGTGGGTACATAAACAAGAAAAAACTTTTTCGGATTTTTATGTGCACTGGAAATAACCTATTATCATTACTTTTGGATCTGTTGTCCAATCTATACAAATAAATAAAATTGAAGTGTCTGTTTGTATTCTCAAAATTACAGTTTTGTTACTAAATGCATATGAAAGTAAATACGGTACTTATAACTAAAATAAATTTTAACAATTTTTGTCTGTCTGTCTGTTTATTCCGGCTAATTTACGAAACGGCTGGACCGATTTTGACGGGACTTTCAATGACAGATAGCTGATTTCTTAAGGAGTTACTTTTATTTTAGAAAAAGAATTAAGGTTCCGCGCAAAAACATAAAAACCCTAACACGTGAGCGAAGTCGCGGGGAACAGGTAGTAGAGGAATAAATGTAGAATATAGGTTTTTTTAACTTTCATGCAAGTCTTTTCATTGTTCTAGCTTCGATTGTTAAGTTTTTTACATTAGTGCCTGCCAGTATCCGGAGACCTTCCGTACAGGCCCTGACGTTTGGCGCGTAAAAAACAAAATCTCCTAGCGCTTGACGGGTTAGCAAAAATCAATATCTAACTGAGAGAAGTAGCCTAATGCTATACTATTCCTCCTCCTCATGAATCTGGCTATAATATAGAAAATCATTTTTTCAAATCGGACTGATAGTTCCAGAGATTGGCGTGTTTAAACAAACAAAAAACAAAAAACCCTTCCACTTTATTATATTAGTATAGATTACAAAGTTATAATGCAGTTGTTGTGTTATGTTCATGTTATTTTTATGTTTATGTCATATTCTCTTACTCCTTAGGTGTCGTTGCAACCTTATGAAAGGCAGCCTTAGTGCATGCGATTCCTAAAAAAGGCTGGGACCTATCCAAATACAGGCCTATCACCATCACCTCCTAGTTCTCCAAAATAATGGAATCCATTATTAACTGCCAGCTCACGCGTCACGCGGTACCTTGAAGAGCATAAGCTGATTAGTGACCTTCAATACGGTTTCCGTCGAAGCTGTTAGTATCGATAGGACGGAAACGGCGTGTATGGATGTATGTATACATACATACACACCTACTTACAAAATTAACTATTTTATGGGTGCCAGTGGAGAAAGGACCTCTTAATATTCCCGTAAACTTCCACTGCTGAACATGGAAGGATCTCTCCCTACGCAGGAAGGATTTGCCTTGAGAGTCACGCTTGGCATAGGACTGACGATCGCAGAACCAGACGTGAGCACCTCTGGCAATGTCGCCTGGGGCCGGTCTGGATATTTTACATCTGAAGTAAACGAGGTGGTTATACCGCCATATGTCCGAGCCATCAGATTTTTCTAGCAAACCCATAGTCGCCTCTTACGAAACCCACGGGACAAAATGTGATGATGAATTCTCTTACACCGCACTTACACGCCATCGTCGACCGTGTGTGTATAACACTAGTTCTGTGTGGAATTCGAAACAGCGATTATTAGATTAATGTAAATGTAACATAGTCAGAAAAATCATTCTTTCTCTCCAAAAATGAATATGAGAGACATTATTCGGAGTAATTGACTAAAATACTTTATATCTGGCAACAATATTTAGTATTATTGTGTAAAATACTATAATTTCTTTATTTCTCCCTGGGTTAACTGATAGAAAATGCCATAAGGCATAAACTTCGCCCATTGTAAACCGTTTAAGGTGTCTTGCAGATGCAATAACTTACAATAAATAAAAAGTTTAACTTCGACAAATCATTTTTCAGAATTTTCTGAGAAGAAGATTAAATCAAATTCTACTGATTGTAAGATAAACGATGTTCGTGAAGAAGACCTCGATTTTGAAGGCCCTACTATTAAATCAAACCCTAAAGTGAAAAAAGATAATCAACCAATTAATAAAAAAGGAAAGCATCCTGCAAAGATTATGAAAACGAAAATTTTGAAACAAAAGAGTGTAAATATGCTTAAGAAAAAAACATCTGGGACATCAACTAAATACATTTTTGAATGTGATGGTTGTAGTAAAAAATTTTCAACAAAAGAAATTCTCGCCAAACACATTTCATACAGTCATAAGACACAAAAGAACTCTGACACCACTGCAGTTCGGACACAAGTAGAACAAGCTCCAGTACCACAACAAACAGAAATATTTAATTGTGATATTTGTGAATTTAAAACATCTCAAAAACGTTCCATGTTGGCACATCTTAAAGCGCACGTCGCTAAACAAATGTACTGTTGTAATAATTGTGAATATAAATGTATTAGAAAAAGTAAGTTGCAAACACATATGAAAATACACACCGGAGAGAAACCTTTTTCGTGTAATATATGTGATTATAGATGTATTGCAAAGATACAATTGCAAACACATAGGAAAAGACATCATCATTCATCATCATTACAGCCCTTCACAAGTCCACTGCTGAACATAGGCCTCCCCCAAAGAATACCACAAAGCACGGTCCTGAGCCACCTGCATCCATCGACTTCCTGCATGTCTTACCAGGTCGTCACTCCATCTCGTGGGGGGACGCCCTACACTTCGCCTACCGGTACGAGGCCGCCACTCGAGAACCTTTCTTCCCCATCGGTTGTTGGTTCTTCGAGCTATATGGCGGGCCCATTGCCACTTCAGCTTACTAATCCGTTGGGCTATGTCGGTTACTCTGGTTCTACTGCGGATATCCTCATTCCTAAGTTTATCACGCAGAGAAACTCCGAGCATAGCCCTCTCCATAGCTCGCTGAGCAACCTTGAGCTTTCTCATACGGCCAGCAGTGAAGGACCATGTAGGAAAAGACATACCGGTGAAAAACCGTTTAAGTGTAATATCTGTGATTTTAGATTTAGTATAAAAAGTAATTTGCAAACACATATGAAAATACATACTGGAGAAAAACCTTTTTCGTGTAATATCTGTGTATATAGATGTAATACAAAAAGTCTTTTGCAAAGACATTTAAAAACACACACTGGAGAAAAACCTTTTTCGTGTAATATCTGTGAATATAGATGTATTACAAAAAGTCATTTGCAAAGACATTTAAAAACACACACTGGAGAAAAACCTTTTTCGTGTAATATCTGTGTATATAGATGTATTACAAAAAATCTTTTGCAAAGACATTTAAAAACACACACTGGAGAAAAACCTTTTTCGTGTAATATCTGTGAATATAGATGTATTACAAAAAGTCATTTGCAAAGACATTTAAAAACACACACTGGAGAAAAACCTTTTTCGTGTAATATCTGTGAATATAGATGTATTAGAAAAAGTAGTTTGCGAGAACATATGAAAATACACCCTGGCGCAAAACCATTTTCGTGAGCTATCTGGTCAAATATGTACAATATTGTGTAAACGTGTTTTATATAAATATGTGTGTACCAGACAAAATCCATTTTTTGTGAATTTGTGATGTAATTATATAACGAGTAGATAAACCTTTCCGTGCCTTATGTGCCAATTGAAACTGCATTTATTCTGAAGAAGTTAATTCAATACCTAATTTAAAATTTTGTACAACCAAATTCAATATAAATCATTAATAATAATTCAAAAACTATTGGTCAAACTTTGATTAAATTTATATGAGACCGCATGTGAAGCACCAGCTTTCAAATAAAAAAAGAATTATCGAAATCTTATCATACAGAAAAAGTTAAGAGGTAATAAACATATAAAAGAACATACAGTCGAGTTGATTACCTCCCCATTTTTGAAGTCGGTAGAAAGCAAAAAATATTGGAACCTTAAAATAAATACCGAATGTGTGAATGGAGGTTAGTGAAACAGACGGGACCTTAAAGTCTTTGTAGAAAGAAAGCCTGAATCTAGAGAAACTTAAATGATTTTCGTATTTTTCTTTATAAAGATCATAAATGATAGACAAGTTCAAATTTGGAGCCAAATATATTGCTGATGTACTATCTCTGCAATAATGAGAAGAATACTTAGGCAAACTCTATAAATTGCTTTATTTGCAGCAATTGTTCGCCATCAATTGCGTTTCTGCCCCCAGATTTAACACCCCTTTTGTCACTAATAGAAGCTTGCTCTCTAAATTTGTTAAGAGCCACATCGATTCTTGATTGACTAATGCCAAGTGTAAACAAAAAAGCTTTTTTACAGACGAGTATTACATTATTTGTATTTCCTACTAAAAGCTCGCTTGGAATTTACGGAATAGCTTCTTTTCTTGTTGACTTCAATAACACCACCTTGTAAAATCGCGCACCTTGCTTCATAAGAACCAGAACTCCAAAATTTTTCAAATTCTTTTATACGCTGATGAATAGACAATTTTTCTGTACATTTCAAAGGACATCTACAATCTCTGCTATTAAATTCCTTCGCACAAATTTTTTTCCTTTCGCACTGAAGTAATCCTGATTGGTATTCGCTTTTTTCTTTCTTATGCTGCTGTTCTGGTCTATATATTTCCTCTTGCGTCCTTTTCTAGGTCTACCATTGTATTTTGATGATGGCTCACCTGAATCAGTCGTTTGTTCCGGGTATATAATCAGGGTCTTCAATGTTTCTATGATTCTGATCAACGGAATTTAAAATATTGATAGTGGCTTGTACACGTCTTACATCAATAGTAGGATGAGGTTCGTTTTCTTCAACAGGAGTAGAAATATTCTCATGCGAATGCTTCTTTTTATCAAATGTATTTGAATTATTACTGTCATTTCCATTAGTTAATGTTGTCTCCATTGCTTGGCATTCACCGTCGTCACTAGCGTTGGAACCACTTCCTCTATTAAAATGAGTAACTATCTCCGTTTGTTGGTCCTTACTATTATTTAGTTCATCATTTACAAAATTCAATTTATTTTCTTCAATTGTCGGAAATAGAAAATTAATCATTACATCATTAGGCTCTGGTACAATATTTATATCTGAATGATCGAGTAACTCAATTATTGGTGAAATACTTTCCATTGAAATATTATCTGGCAATGTATAAGTAAACAGACCATCGCATCTGGAGTTTTGTAATTCTATAGAGTAATCTAAATCTCGATCAGTTCTAACATTAGGTACAGCAATATCTTGACGTTTATTTGTGTTGGCATGTTCAGTATTTTTATTCAAATCTTTTGTATTGGAGTTCGCAAGATTGACTAATAATTGAGCCCTTGATTTTGGCAGTGACATCGTTCTACAAAAAAAATAAGGATAAGGTTAGTAGTAGACGTCTGTCTATGAAAATAACACCCAAACAAGTCGATATAACTCGTGCATTTTTTTTAGATAGAAAGATAGCGATTTTTCCAATAAAATGTCAGGGTACTTAAAATACAAATTATGTCTCGTAACATTAACAGTAACATTTTAAGCACCGTAAACTGCACTATAAGTTTTACTCAAAAGTCCTTAGCTGTTTAGCAATAATGTGTTTTGTTTCATAGTACGATACACAGTATAGTTTTGTATTTAGCAATAATCAATCAAGTGGATTATCATAAATATTTGTTACAAAAGTTACAATAAATCAATCTTAAAGGACCAAATAACATTATTTTAGTATAAGAAAAAGCTTTACCTTTGAAATGTAACTATACAATTATTTAATTTATTCGTTTCCTAATTTATATCGGCAACCTAACCTTTTAAGAAATTACTTACGAAAATCTTAATGTAACAGAATAATTATTGACTTACCTTGATGATGCCAGCGTGGATCATATACAATTCACCACAACAACGGTTTATTAAACTAATCAAGTAATTACAATGGGAATATCAGTTATTTTTTAAATTTTTACATGAACTTCTTTATTTGGCACTGGCTGAAGAACTGAATGACATTTCGCAAAAAAATCTGTAGTCACTATAACATCTTTATAGTGACTACAGATGGTGCTACTTTGAATGTCGACTGTGTTAAGGAGCTTGACGGCGTATTGGTAAATGTTGTATATGTGATTTCTCATTTGTTTTATGATATAATTTATTTTTTCCATACTTATTTGATTTAAGTAACTTAAAACTCTTTTGTATAATGTTTAATAGGTGACGCGTTATCACAATACATCAATATCTCTGAATTTGACTTTTTGTGGGTTGACACATTATTGCTTATCAGCATCCAAATATACAGTACTTACGTAAATTCAACAGTGTATATGTGAAGTGATTCTTATCTGCCGACTTCCAAAAAGGAGACTGTACTCAATTCGACTGTATGTTTTTTTATGTGTGTTACCTCAATAGAATAGAATAGAATAATTTTAGAATAGAATAGAATAGAATAATTTTTTATTCAATATAGATCACATGTGTAATTCTTATTGAAAGTCATTTTTTACTTTACCACTGGTTCGAAAAAAGAACCTCTGTCCTGGGAAGAACCAGCAAGAAACCCAGCGGGACTTTTTTTTAAAGCAAATTTTACATCATCATTCAGGGGTCATTGTAGAAGCGTGCTCGTCGCGACCCCTGCCAGCCCTTTTCAGGGCTGCAATTCTACTAGCTGCGCACCCATGCCAACGAGGGTTAGGGCGTCCCCCCAAGGCGACGCACACCAGCTCGTCCCCGTTGGTGTGGAATGCAGCGCGCAAAGCGGCGATGGGGACCGCCACCCGTCACGCGCAGCCCGACACGGCGGAAGGTGGAGGACAGAGTGCAGAGTTGGCACGTGGAATGTTAGAGGAGGCATGAGAGATAAGACGAATGAGTTGATCGAAATAATGAAAGAAAGAGAATTAGATGTCGTGTGTATGTCGGAGACCAAACGGAAGGGCAGTGGTACTGAAGAGCTCCCTGGCGGGGCGTTAGCTCTATGGTCAGGAGTCCCGGAGAGCGAGAACGCCTGCCAGGGAGTGGGGGTGCTGCTGTCTTCTCGGTTGGTCGATGTTATGACTGAATATAAGGTTGTGAACTCAAGACTTCTCTGGGTTCGCTTTAAATTGGGACTGACGAAGTTATTCCTTTTGGCTGTTTATGCGCCGGTAGCTTCGTCGTCCAGGGCTGAGCTGGAGGAGTTTTGGGAGAATGTAAGAGAAGTTCTAGATTTGGCTAGGGGAAACGAAAGAATTGTTGTATGTGGTGATTTGAATAGATGGGTTGGTACCGCTCGACCAGGGTACGAGTCGGTACTTGGAAAGTTTGGCGATAAAAGGGTTAATGATGCTGGCAAGCTTATACTGGCGGTGTGCAAGGAAAAGGGTCTTCTTGTGACAAACACTATGTTTAATCACAAGAAAATCCATATGTATACTAGAGAACGAAAGAATGAGAGAAGTATGATTGATTTGTTCCTGGTGGATGACCGACTGCGAAAACAGGTGATGGATACGCGAGTGTTCAGGGGTGCTGACCTGGGAACGGATCACTATCTAGTGATTACTAGATTTAGGGGTCTGTTCGCGGGTTGGCGCTACCGGACGGCAGTAACAGAACCACAGTCGGTCTGTCGCATCCGAAGCTGGAAGCTTCAGGAAGCGGATACTAGGGACAAATATCATGCGAGGGTAGCCGAAAAGCTTGACACCATCGATGGCAGAAAAGAATGTGTAGAAAGAACTTGGCAGAACCTTAGGGATGGAATGGTAAGTGCAGCGGAAGAAGTGTGTGGAACAATAAAAAGAGGCAGTAGTAAAAGAAGAGATGCATGGTGGAATGATGAAGTGAAAGAAGCTGTAAAAAAGAAGAAGAAAGCATGGTTAGACTACTTGGCCTCTAGTAATGATAAGGATATGAGAGAGAAGATGAAAGAAAGATATAGGCTGCAGAAAGTTCACACGAAAGCATTGATTGAGGAAGTGCGTGAAAGGTGTAGAATGGAAGCGGACGAAAGGTTGTCGCACAACTTTAAGGAGAACTCCAAACTCTTCTGGAAAGAGGTTGGAAGGACCCGGAGTGGTGCGACAGCCTTAAGAATGAACAAAGTGCTTTCGAGAACTAATGACGTCCTCTCAAAAAAATCGGACGTCATGCAGCGATGGAGCGAATTTTATAGAGAAATGTATGCGTATGATGATCTTAGTGAGGGATCCGGGGATGACGCCGTGACTGGTACGCCAGACCCGGACCTCGATGACACTGAGGTCATCAGTATGAAAGAGATTGAACGTGCGATTCGAAGTTTGAAATGTGGTAAGGCTGCGGGACTAGACAGAGTTACTGCTGAAATGGTCAAGTATGGTGGGCCTCGCGTCTGGGACAGCTTTCATCTGCTGTGCAATTTGTGCTGGCGGACGGGGGATGTCCCGGATGATTGGCGATCCGCAGTCATTGTGCCTTTATATAAAGGTAAAGGTTCACATTTTGACTGCGGGTGCTATCGGGCGATCAGCTTGACCAGTTTAGCAAGTAAAGTTTACTCGAAGGTTTTGACACGTAGGATGCAAGAGAAATCGGAAAGATTTCTATGGGAGGCACAATGCGGATTTAGACCTGGAAGAGGATGCACGGATCAAATGTTTTCTCTCCGCATGATCACGGAAAAGCTTCTGGCTGCTAACCAGAAGATTTTCTGTGCTTTTGTGGATCTTGAGAAAGCATTTGATAAGGTTGTAAGGAAGAAAATGTGGGAACTGTTGCCGGGGTATGGTGTGGATGGTCGATTGCTAAGGGCTGTGCAGTCTCTTTACTGTGACTGTAAAGCCTGTGTGCGGGTAGGGCATGACCTGTCACCCATGTTTGACGTCCAAACGGGCGTAAAGCAGGGTTGTGTCATGTCTTCCTGGCTGTTCATACTGTATCTCGACAGCTGTTTACAGAAGCTGAAAGATAGTTGTTTGGGTGTGAAATTGGGTGACATTAAAGTAAATTGTCTGCTGTATGCTGATGATGCAGTGCTTATTGCACCATCAGAGGCAGAACTGCAGGCATTAGTCACGTGTATGAAAGAGGAATGTGAAATTAAAGGTCTCCGTTTGAATGCTAATAAAACTAAGGTTCTGGTATTTGAAAGGGACGAAGAGAGAACGAAGTGTGAAATATGGGTAAATCAGGAATGTCTAGAACAGGTAAATGAAATTGTATACTTGGGGAGTGCTTTTAGCCGGGATGGAAGATGTGATTTAGATGTGGACAGGCGTGTCGCTGCCGGGAACAAAGTCAATGGTGCCCTGACTGCGTTAGTCAAAAGGCAAGGCGTAGCGAAGAGTGCACGCCTTGCAATACATAACGCAGTGTTGGTACCGACTTTGTTATATGGCAGCGAAACCTGGGTATGCCAGAAGAAGCATAAAAGTAAGTTGAATGCAGTGGAGATGCGATCTCTTCGTAAAATGTGCGGCGTTACCATGGCCGACCGAAAGCGAAACGAAGAGATTCGCAATATGGCAGGTTTGAAAGATGACCTTATCACAAAAATTGATAAGGGCGTGCTTCGGTGGTTTGGGCACGTTGAGCGAATGAGTGAAGACCGAATGGTGAAGAAAATATATAGCGCGAAAGTTAATATTAAAAGGTGTCGAGGTAGACCGAGACTAACTTTCGAAGACCATGTGAGCAAATTGCTCGAAGAGGGTAGGGTCAAAAGTACTCGGATACCTAGACGTGCATGCATGAAGAAGATAATGAATCTGAAAGAAGCGAAAGAGGTTTGTAAGGATCGTGACACTTGGCGATCTGTTCTCTCTGGCTACCCCGTCAGGGATTGTGCGTGAAGATAAGTAAGTAAGTAAGTAAATTTTACAATAATGGTTGTACTAACTATATAAGTACAAAATTTATTTTAGAAACAGCTTGGAAGCGATCACCTCATTCCCAGGGGTTATTATCAAGCATGTATTCATTTATACTATAATAACCCTTTTTATACAGTTTCAACTTAACAAAACATTTAAACTTGCTAATAGGGAGAGCCTGTACACTTTCCGGGACCTTGTTGTAATAGCGTATACATTGCCCCAAGAATGAATTACTGACTCTGTGGAGTCAAGAAACTGGTATCACTAGCTTGTGTTTGTTCCTAGTGTTTACAGAATGCACATCAATTTTTTACTAAAACTACCTTTGTTTTTGTGAACATTTATTAAATTTTCGTAAATATACTGAGAGGCCAAAGTTAATATATTTATTTCTTTAAATTTATCTCTAAGAGACTCTCTCGGTTTTAGGTTGTAAATAGGTCTAATGGCCCTCTTCTGTAAAACAAAAATAGTTACTGAATCAGCCGCATTTCCCCATAGCAAAATCCCATAAGAGATTATGCTATGGAAATAACTGAAATAAACTAATCTAGCTGTCTCGACACTAGTGAGACCTCTAATCTTTTTTACAGCATATGCTGCAGAACTTAGTCTGCTTGCTAGTTTGGATATATGGGGGCCCCACTGAAGCTTTGCGTCGAGAGTGATGCCAAGAGTGGATTCAACAGGGCTCAGTTCTTCCCCATTTAAAAACACATTGGTACTTAGATTTTTAACATCCGTTGTTGTAAATTTAATACATTTAGTTTTATTTCCGTTTAAATGAAGATTATTAACGTTAAACCAATGCACTAATTTTGATATAGCATTAATCACTTCGTCACATTTAAATGATTGACGTTTAAGTTTAAAAATCAAGGAAGTATCATCAGCAAATAATACTATATCATGATTATCCTCTACAAGAGAAGGTAAGTTATTAATATACACTAGAAATAAGAATGGGCTGAGAATCGAGCCCTGAGGGACACCCATTAGTACAGATGAGCCGGAAGAACTTTTACCACTGATAATAACTTTCTGCTTTCTATTACTTAAATATGAAATAATAAGTTTAAGCGCTGTGTTCTTGACACCATAGTACTGTAGCTTTCTGATTAATGTCTCATGGTGAACACAGTCGAAGGCCTTGGAAAGGTCACAAAATATACCCAAAGCATCCTCTGAATTCACCCATGCACAAAAAATATGTTTAATAAGCTCAACTCCAGCGTCAGTTGTCGAGCGACCCCTTGTAAAACCGAATTGATTTCTATGTAGCAATTTATTAATATTAAAGAAACTTGACATCTGATCTAAAATTATTTTTTCAAAATTTTTACTAAATGTTGGTAGTACAGAAATTGGTCTAAAATTGGCGGGGTCTAATGTACTACCCGATTGAAATAAAGGTATGACTTTAATATGTTTCATTAAATCAGGAAACACACCAGATTCGACGCTTGTATTAAATATAGTGGCTAGATAAGGTGCTAATATATCTATTATAGATAAAATAACTTTAACGGAAATCCCCCATAAATCTGCCGTTTTCTTAACATCAATAGTTTTAAAATATTTAACGATATCTTTTGGCAGTACACTATGGAATTTAAAAGTATTTGAACAAGCCTTTACATTTTGTTTGAGCA